TTTGAGTTTGCGTATTGCTGATAATTCAGCTTGGGACATGTTTGTTTGAGGTTTTCTCAATCTAATATGGGCGAGTTCCATCTTGATAGCTTCCAAATAATTCTCAAGTGTGGGGTTTTGAGTGGATTTGGGTTGCCAGGTAGATGGAGGTTTGAAAGGCCTCTTTTTCAGAACTTTTTTGTGCATCAGAAATGCAATTCTCGTTCGTCTTTGATATTTGTTTATATCTTGGATAAGGCCAAAAAAATAAGTCTCCGGTTTCTGGTATGGAGCTTGCCCAAAAATGGTGCGGCGACGCGGCTTTTTTTTTTTTTTTACCTGATTTTTTTGCTTCAAATGTCGGCTGACGACTGCAAATGGTGCCCGACTAAACTTAGTGCAAATATATGGGAGTCCAGAGAGGCCACATAAAGCTTATTCTCGACCATAACCCAATCTAAAAACACGTTAAAATTGTGCAGCAGCAGGATTCCAGTCAAACCAGTGAGTTTGGCGGTTCTGAGACATCATCTTTCATTAAAAAATTGTTTTTTTCATTTTGCCGACGCGCATGGCTACGGCGACGCGCGCGCATACCAGAAACCGGAGACTTTTTTTTTTTGGCCTAAGTGAGAGACAGGTTGGTTTAGCCGGGGTGGGAACAAAGTTTAAACCTTTACCTAAAGCTATTTTCTCGGTAGGGGAGAGTGATAGCTTTGATAGGTTGGTTATGAATAATGTTCATTTTGGTTGGCTAGTTCTTTCCGTTGGTCGGCTTGGGACAGCCGTTGGAGATTTGAACAAGAAAGGGCAAATCGTTGGGCTTTTTTTTCTTAGTTTTCCTTTTTTGTGGAATGAACTAATGTTTCTCCTAGTCATTGTTATTTACTGATAATAATAATGATAATTATTATATGGGGTTGGCATTTTTTTCCCCATGAATTTCTATGGCATTTTTATTTTTTATTTTGACAGAGCTGTGGGTGTTTTTGCCTCCCCCCCCCCCCGGATCCGCGCCTGGGGATTTGCACTGAGACTTTCGTGTAACAGAGAGATCAATCGTGTGCGGCAAGTGTTGGTGTCCAAATGCTGTGTGTGTACAGTATTCAGGGGAGAGAATAGAGGTTGGGGTTTGAATAATCACGAAATAATTTGCAGAGGGTTTGGGTGTCGCTGATGGAGGGCCGGCCCCAGAGCAATGTAGGGTCTATGGTACATATTTGTATTTGGCTAAAGCAACTCCTAAACTAATCTTTTGTTTTATCTTAAAGTCTTTTTTTATGAACACGGAGACCTATATGGTAAAATCTCACATTCTAAGTGATCTTTCAACTCAAGATCTGGAAAAGTTTTACAAGTCATACCCTGCTTCCTATACCATAACTGTTTATGGTATGGCGGCGAGTGTCAACTTCGACGGGAGCTAATATACACCAGAAAGAACAGTGGCATGGGGGCACGTGCCCCCCCCCCCCCTACAAATCTCCAGTGCCCCACCCAGGTTCCCGCCCACCCAAAATTCGAATTTTCCTTTCGTCCAGGACTTTATTTGGTATTAGCAATTGAACCAGAGGAGGAATGTAGATGACTAGTTTGTTATATGATTCTAATACCCTTCACCCAAGGATTGATGAATTCTGAATAAATTGAAAATGAAAGACAGCGTCCTCTAACGTCGACAGAGGTCCAGCGTTTCGAATCTGCAGCACTAGGCCGGCCAGTTGGCGCCTGAAAACTTTTTTTGTGGGTCCGCCCTTGGTCCCCCCCCCCCAAAAAAAACCCAGATCCTGGCTACGCCACTGGAAAAGAACCATGTAATAATTCTGCAGCCATTTTGTAAAATTTGTCAGACGTCTAAAAAGTCCAGCAGTTTTATGTTATATTGAAGCTTCTTATATGTCATCTTCTTCAAAGTGCCCCAAACTGAATGAATCTGTTCCGATGGGCTGCATGGACTGCAACTAAATACCAATACAGATCTCAGCATCAGTCCAGCATCAGTTACATGGGCATCGCCATGTAATTGATTCGTGCGAGATATCCCCGTGTACGTGTGTGCGCTTTGCAGCTATTCATGGGTTTCTGCAAACCTCGGCTACGCGTCCCCGTAGTATTTCGCCTGAAATTTTAAAATCCCTGACTTTGGAGATTCCACTTAAATATGAGTAGATGTTACTTTGTCTGTACAGGGATATCAAATTGTATGACATTAAGCCAACGATGAGAAGTTTTGCCATCTCCTCCGGACAAGGCCAAACCATGAAGAAGCCAATATTTGGGAAACCCCCATGGTATAACTTTTGGCAGGCGCAGGTAGTTTTTTTTGCCGAGTCTCGAAAGGATTCGTGTGAAGCCAAGTGATGTATTATACAGTACAGATCGCTATTGAACGCGGACCAGAACCCGAATGTGTACTTTAAACTGATAATCGAACAGTAATCGAACAGATCGCTATTGAACCCGAACCAGAACCCGGATGTGTACTTTAAACTAATAGTCGAACAGTAATCGAACAGGTCACACTGCGAAGTCCACCTAACACTGCACGCACAGAGAACACAAAATAATGGGGCGGATTAATGAGTTTCCTGCTAGCGTCGGTTGCCAAGTGCCAAATAAATGTTTGGATTTCTATTTAAGACGCCTTATCGTATCTGGCTACTCAATTAAGTAAAGCACTTAGAAGTATAAACGGGAAAAAAACTGGACTGTCCCTAATCTACATGCAAGGATGTTACACAATAGTCAACCAATCAGTGCGATCGTTTTAATTCGTGTGTGGCAAAAGTTGGTGACCAAATACTATGTTCTCTCCTTACAGTAACCAATTGTGGTGGGTGTTTTTTTTTTTTTTGGGGGGGGGGGGGTTAGATTACTGGGAAATCAAAACCAAAATCAGCGAAATAATTGGTAGACGGTTTGGGGCCGGACCCAGGGCAATGCACATGCAACTAAGAATTACATCATACTCAACCAATCAGTGCGATCGTATGCGCGTATCCAAGTGCTGTCGGCCTCTGATTGGCCAAGAAGCGCGCCGAGTGGTGGTCTCATTTGTATACTCAAGTGCCTTTAAATGGCGAACGGAAAGTTGCTTTTGGTACAGAAGACTGGAAGCCTGGTTCGAGAGAGGACAGGCAAAGACGTGATACTAAAGATTTCATGCAAACGTTTGAACGAGCGCCAGGACTCTGAAAACTTGGATCTTCGCAAACTCAGGTAAAACAATTGTAACTTACATTTTCACCTAGTTTACAGATTGATCTATTGTATTAAAACAAGTGATGAACACCTTGAATTTTACCATTTTTTCATTTTTGTCAAATACAAATAAGTATGGTAAGTAAGAGTATACCCTTCGACATTTTTTTACACTGGATGTTAATGAGATACATGTAGTTCAGTTACATTCAAAGTAAAGAGTAATTTGCTTAGAAACTAACATTTGTCTATTGTTTGAACAGCCGAGTTTTGGTCCCTCGAATGATGCAACCTTTTTACATTTATTGAACTCTACCTCGAGTCCGGGAAAGCTGCGAAAAGTTTCTGATTATATCGTTGTATGTTTTCACTGAACTTTTCCCAGACAAAATCCGTTCTAATTTGATTTCAATTTCAGACCTACAGATAAAATGTGTCGGATATGTCAGAAATGTGTCAGTGGAGTACTAAATTAAATATTATCTCATTCAAAGGTGTCTCTTTCGGACTAATTTAGTTTATTACCTCCGCCAAGGAGGTTATGTTGGTTGGCTATGTTGGTTGGTTTGTTGGTTTGTTAACAAGATAACTCAAATAGTTATGGACGGATTTGCATGTAAGTGTTTGTAGGGTTGGTTTGTAGAAATCCATCGGATTCTGGAAGTGATCAGGATCTGGGTCTGCATGGATCCAAGATTTTTTTTAAAGGATTCTGCACCATTAAAAGAGTATTTCTTTTGGATGCACTGACATTCGCTCGTACCCCCCGCCCTGCAAACAGGACGCTGGGATACTCTGATGAATTCACGCTCTGATTGGTTGGATTTTGCGTGACCAGTGACCTGCGCGTAATCACGGTCATGACTCTGCAAGGTTTGAAACGGCCGTTAAGACCAATTCATTACTCTTTTATTCCAGTTTAGAGATGTTTTTTCTCGTTGAAAAAGCGTAATATTGTAGGAACTTCTGTAAAACTTATCTGCGTTGTAAATTTACAATTCCCGTCACTCACTCAGGCTCCGTTTCGAATCACGAACGATCGGATTGCATTACGCGACGCTCAAAATTTTGTCCACATGCTCCGCAATGAAACCGAAATCACATCCGTTATGGAATGCGCGCAATTCTATGGGAAGTTTCTGATAGCATTTGCGCACATTGTCTAAATGCGGTCTTGAACAGCTGCAGCCAGAATGTTTTATACATAGGTCATAGGCCATTTCCTTCACAAGATTCTGTGAAGCTCATTAGAGTATCCCAGCGTCCTGTTTGCAGGGCGGGGGAGACACGAGCGAAGGTGCACTGACACTGCAAGCATGTCAATAGATGTCGCCCTCCAACACTCACGGTCATCGCGGCTTGGTTGTTTCCGAAGGGTCCCACATTGCCACAATATGGCGGGGAATTGTTTAGCCTTAGCGGAGCTTTGCGCTCTCTGAGTGCTTTTGTGAACTATTCATACCATGGAGGAATTCCTCCATGTTTATACAAGTCCCTCGACAAGATTGCTTTTCTTTTCGTGATCCTACTAAAATCTCTTGCGAATCTTTTACCACATTCTTCAGGTAATTATATTGTGTCGTAATGTATTCCCATTGAACAAAACTTTACTCACCCTGTATAGCGATGACGCTTCATGCAAATAAATTCCGTGCAGCGATATGCAAATATAAACATGTTGAACAGTCAGCTTCGCGAACGCTCAGCTATTCTTTTATAGTTTTGTGTGGCCCGAATATTTCACTATTGTTTTGCACATCTGTTCTTTGTGCCATCTTACGTAACATTGGGAGTGGGCCAATCTTTAATTTCGTGTGGCATGAACTGAACGCCAAGTCAGAACAGCTCCGAACTACGTCCAGAGCACAACTTCAGCGACATTTTTGTGTAGGCCCCTTTTTTGTTCACACTCGGTTTTGAGTACTAGTATTGGGAATCGTGGTGGCAGAGATAGTGGAAGGCTGCGTGGTATGTACATTTGGTTGTGTTTAACGAACACCAACACGTTTCTGTAGTGGCGTAGCCACGGGGGGGGGGGGGGGGGGAGGCGATAGCCTGCCATGAAACCTTGTCGCCCCCCCCAGTCGCCCCCCCCCCCCTGAGATTTTGAGTTTCTAAAAAAATTATCATTGCTCTACATGACGCCCCCCATGAAATGTTCAAGCCCCCCCCCCCCCCCAAGCGGCCCCCCCCCCCCCCGACAAATTCCTGGTTACGCCACTGCGTTTCTGGCAACACCAGTAAAAGCTTTGTCTGTCCTTTAAGGATATTTTGAGAGCTGTAGTGTAGATACAAACATTTTGAAGTACTGAAGTATCATCCACCATCTTTAACCTGGAACTAGGTTCTCGACATCATACAGTGTTGATACATGTTGACTCGTAAACGAAGAGAACATTATTTCAAACTGAGTAAATTGTTTTCAGAGGATAAAGTAGTATTTATTTTGTAAACATTCATTTGTGGAGGATCTTGAAAACATAATTTTGCTAAAAATTGTTATTACAGATTTATAATTAGGAACATTATGGTACTGTATAATTAGACTGATAGTCCCATAAATGTGACGGAAATACTGGACTACCTCCGTATTTAACGTCACACATCCACCTATGGTATAAACGCGGAGCGTCCCCGTTGCTAGGGGAGCCGAAAATTCATTAAAAAATTATTTGGTCATTAGAAAAGCAACCCAGCTATTAGTATGACTGCTAAATAGCACAAAATCGTTAAATTCGGTACCTAGAGGTCTGGTTATCCAAAACTCATGGTAATTCGTCAAAGAATGCAGACGGTTTTGAAAAAGCATGGCGTCTCTGATATTTACCAGACTGTTTCCCGGCCACCCTAATTATAGTCAAAAGGCCAATGGGGTCAGGGAACCAGACAAGATCTTTAGTCATTTACTGAGCGTGCGTCAACGTTGGCAAAGCGCACCACGGCTGTTTCCTGTCATTCCAAAATCTTTGGCGCTCTGTGAAGTACCCGGATGCAATACGCGGCCGCGGATAAAGAGCGCGCACAAGAGGGCGCGCTTCACTGCAGAGGGCTTCAAAAATGTTGGAATGCAATCCCAACGGATTTCTTCTTCTTTTTTTGATCGCTCAAAAGGGTTACAAACTTTTGAAGTCTTCGACGTTTTTGTTTTTAATATTAGTTTCTTCTGAAGATTTTTTTTCTATCACTTGGAAAAGGTGCGAGCTTTTTGCCATCTGGTTGGTGAAAATCCAGTATGCATTTCCTCCTTAATCCAAACAAAGACCTGTTTATGAAACAGTTCAAGTTTGTCATTGAGACCTATGTTCAATTATTGATTTGATTTAATTCTATTTTCATGTTCAAATTCGCCTAAATTGTTTCATGGTGAGCATGAACTGACACACTGTTGTTTTACATGTACTGTAAAAGATTCCTTCAATCTGCGGCGAAAATCTTTGCTATATTAAAGTCAGGTGCATGCCAAATTGTTTCCAAAATACCAAAAACTCGTACATTTTACAAACGTTTCTTTTCAAATTAATCCCGTTTATGCATGGTATTGTTTGCAGGGGCTATTCACAACAAAACCTGTAGATTCTCAAAATCATCTACAGTTAACTGTACATTAGTTTTAAGAACGTACAGTTAACTGTACATTCTGAAGAAAATAAATGGACACTTTACTGAGACGTCACAAGGGTAGTTAAAGGGATATTACAACATTTGCAAGCATCGAAAAATAAAACTACCAAGTTTTTACGAAATACCTTACAGGATGTTGGTAAATGACAGTCTAAGGCATCCTGTAAAATTATGGCATCTGGTGTGAAGTCATCTTCAAGTAAATGGGTATTTTTGTATACATTTCCAACGGTGGTCGGCCGACCACCGTTGGAAAAACCTAACTATTTTTCAGCTACTGCTCAAAATTTATCATTTTTTCTTCAGTCCAAATTTTGTTTCCTATTGGTTGCATGTTCATGAATGGGGGCAGGCCAGCTAGACTGGTTCCCTTACCGTACACTTTTTCGGCATCTATAAATTGATCCATTTAATTTTTTTTGAGGAAAAGAAGGTGGTGTACTCATTGCCTGCCTTTATTGCGATGTCACATAAAAATTAAAAAAAATTGGTTTCGTTTTGGGGGGGGGGGCCATGGCCCCCTTTGCCCCCCCCCCCCGGATCCACCCTTGGTCAGGGAACCAGAGTACTTGAACATTTTTGTTTTTCTTGGTTTGTCCAGCATTCCCGAACACAAAACTTCAAACATGTCAGTGCAACAATAATTTGATCTATTATACTAACCCCTCAAATAGTTCATTTCTGAAAATTAAAGCAAAAGCCAATGATGTACATTCCCTTTAAAGCCTTATTATAACTGCCATTCCGTGGCCGTAATAGCGGAGGCAGAACAATTCCGCGCTAACCCTTTAGGCGCAGAATCAGAATCCTAATAAGATGTGCGCATTAGCCCAAACTCCTTGCTTAACCCGTGAAATATGCTAACCACGTGCGCGGAAGTTTCTGCCACAGTAAGCGGGAATTAATTCCGCAGTCCCTTCTGAGGTTGAGATGTACTGTCCGTGCCATGTTCATTTTTCACCCAGGCACGTATTCCTTTCTTTAAATTGCTACTTTTCTGGTAAAACAATTAAAGGTTATCCACTTTAGAATGAGACATCGAACGCGAAATCGGTCTATGTGTAGTGCTGAAAAAATCAAACTACCAATTATCGTCGGGTCACCCGGTGCGTGAAAGAAAGTCCGATTAGGGCCCCACAAAATGGGTCAAAAGTTCAAGTTCGGATTTTTGGGGTAATCGACAGAGCATGGAAATATCTGTCATATGATATACATTTGTATCAAAGGGCTTTACGTCACAATGGCATAATTAACAGTAAACAAACGTCATAACGAGGTAGGGTGGGGGGCCTGGACACCACATTACACTCGGGGCGCTCTTGGTTTTGCATTAGGGGACTTCAAACCAGCATGCAATTTGTACACAATTATGTAAGAGAACAAAAGGCGTCGCAAGCACCTTTACTGCCTAAATTAACCTGATAATGCAACAGACCAATATGCGTCGCAGGAATCTGACCGGCGACCAGAGCTGCAATGCACTAGTAACAGACTCGGCTACAAGAATACACTTGTCTTTCTTCTTGCATCAATGTGATGCTTGTGATGTGTTGCCAACTTGTTTTTGCACAATTGCCTCTTTTCCTTCCCACAATGTATTCGCTACCTTGCAAACTCATTCTGCGTTTGAGAAAAGATACTGTTCGAGTCGAAGTAAAGGGCTGGGTCCATCGGCGTATCTAGAAAGTTTCAAAGGGTGGGGAGCCTCGTTTGGGGCTTCAGAGTCAGAGCATTTTGAGCGCATAGTACCAATACATCGGCAATTTTTTATTATGTGAGAGAACATCATTTTTACGCTGGGGGTGTTTCGACGCTCGGTGGCGTTTTTTTCGGCGGCCCAAGGGGCCGTACCCACCCTTTCCCCCCTCTCCCCATCACAATCATCCGCTGGTGGCTGGATCACCGCGTCAAGCCTGTATGATTTGCACAATATAAAACATCTTTGTTCTTAAATGAAAAGATTAATTTTGAGTTTTCTTTTCTCATTTTCATTTACAGAGGACTCTCTTGTTCATCGACAGGAGTCGTCCAAGTTGAAAAAAAAAGTTCCCGTCTTCAAGTGTACTAACGAGAAAACTCAGTCGCCAAGATGCACAGCAAACCAGTAAAGATAGAACAGTCGTCGGATACAAGAAGGAAGAACCCGAAGGCGGATTCAGCCAAGACTCCCATTGCAGTCGTCGGTATTGGTAAGTGACTTCAAGTCTTTTGCAGAGTGTTGATGATGTTCGGAATATTATGCCATACAGGGTGAGTAAAAAAAAACAACGAAACCCAAATGTTGGGACCGTTGTTTTAGAGAAGTAATGCGTGTAGCATTTTCAAAATCAAGGATATGAAAGCCCAATTCATAAGCTTTCTTTTAGTACAAGAATCATTTGAATCACTTATGTACTTTTAAACTTACGGAATTTTAAACACATCCACCGTTTTAAGGTTCTATCCACGGATCGCAAAAAAGTTCAGTGTTCTTTCAGCAAAGCGAAAAAAAACACATAGGAATGTATGTGAATTGTTTTCGTTTTGCTGAAAGAACGCACACCTTTTGGTGATCCGTGGACAGAACCTTAAAACGATGGTTGTGTTTAAAACTCCGTAACTTGAAAAAGTACATGAGTGATTTGAATGATTCTTTTACTAAAAGAAAGCTTATGAATTGGGCTTTCATAGACTAAACTTTGAAAGTGCTACTTGCAGAACTTCAATAAAACAATAGTCCTGACATTTGGGTTTCGGGGTTTTTTTTTACTCACCCTGTATATCGCAGTATTGAGAGAGTAGTGACACTTATATGTAACAGGTAAGCGCCCATCACTGAACAAAGAAACAGTGTTTAGCTTCTAAGCGAAGCGTGAATCGTGCATCACTCTGATATCTAAAAAGTCAAAATTCATCAAAGTTAACTGTTCAAAGGCTTTTCAGAAAATATACAGGGTTTCAAAGTACAAATAAATGCTTATTGTTTGAATTAACTTGAATTACACACAATATCATTGAAATATGCCGCACTGAGTTTACAAAGGAACCATAACCGTTAAATGCATGCTTCTCAAATTCTTGCATAAGTAATTATTCGGGTTCCAGCGCTGTTTTTTAACAGATTTTCATGATCAAATTGTAGAAAACGAAGGTTCACCTTCCTTGCTCATGTCGATAAAATTGAAGATTTGAGTATTTATTATAACAAATCTTTAAAATCCGGCAAACACATGCAGCGAGAATCGATTCTGAGTCCACAGTGACGATTTATATCCTATTCAAAACCCTCGAGATAAAAAAATAAAGATGTTATACAATTTTTGAGAAGAAGGCTCTCGTTTGACGAAACATTTCCAGACACTGAATGACAGAATTCGCCTTTGGGGATTTAGCTCATTTTGTATCTCAAAGAAGAGATACTAACAATATTTTTTTTTTTATTCAAAATAACTCATTGTTCAAAAACTCATCACTTGCATAAACACGTCAAAGTTTCCTTCCCGATTTTTCTCTTTGACCTAAATCTAGTAAAAGTGATCAACAAACTATTTTTGGTTATTGCACATAGGCCTTAACATGCATAACTTTAGGAACGTGGTGAATTATACTTCTGACCACTTCATAAAGATTATCAAGATGATAAAAGCTAAATACTTTCTACGCAAAATGTTATGTAACTTTCTTTTCTGCAGGATGCCGCATGCCTGGAGGTGTCGACTCGCCCAAGGCATTCTGGGATGCCCTGGTACAGGGTGAGGACATGATCAGTGAGGTGCCTCCAGACAGATGGTCCTTGGAAACCTTCCATGATCCTGACCAGTCCAACCACAGCAAGATGGTGACGAGACGATGTGGCTTCATCCATGGCATAGACAAGTTTGACAACACCTTCTTCAAGATTTCACCTCGTGAGGCAAGCTCCATGGACCCCCAGCAACGCCACATCCTTGAGGTCACCTACGAGGCTTTTGAGGATGCAGGAATCATCCCAAACACTTTGGGAGAATCCTGCGGTGTCTACATCGGTGTTGGCATGATGGATTATACCGTCGTGCTGCTGGATACATCAATCATCAACCCATACACACTCACGGGTATAGCACACTCTTCCATTGCCAACCGAATCTCCTACGCCTTTGACCTCCGCGGCCCGTCCTACGCTGTAGACACCGCCTGTGCTTCGTCTATGACAGCTATGCACAGTGCCTGCAAGGCAATCTGGGATGGCGAGTGCATAACTGCTGTTGCAGGGGGCTGCAACAATCTACTCATCCCTGAGGGCACTGTTGGTTTCAGTGCTCTGGGCGTCTTATCTCCAGAAGGAAAGTGCTGTCCATTCTCTGACACGGCCAAAGGCTACGTAAGAAGCGAGGGGTTTGGCGTCTTTATCTTAAAACCACTTGACATAGCACTGGCTGACAATGATCATATCTATTCCGTCATCCGTGGTACTGCCATAGCAGCGAATGGTTTCAGTAAGAGTCTCACCATGCCCTCAGCAGCTGCCCAAGAGATGGTGATGAAGAATGCCTATGAACGCTCAGGTGTGCCACTGTCTTCTGTTCGGTACGTTGAGGCACATGGCACAGGAACACCTGTAGGCGACCCTATAGAAGCTGGTGCTATCGGGCGCACCTTTGGCCACCTTAAGGACACCCCAGTCAAAATTGGATCTGTGAAGAGCAACTTTGGTCACAGCGAGTGTGCTGCCGGAATCACAGCAGCTATCAAAGTAGCTCTTATGTTAGAGAAAAATATGCTCGTTCCAACCATCAACTTCTCAAATGCCAACCCTAACATTGACCTTACAGAACTCAACCTCGAGGTCCAGACACAACTGGAGGCATTGGAGAGCAACCCAGACGAGGAAAGTGACCAAGATGAAGCATGCACCATTGGCCTGAACAGCTTTGGATTTGTTGGAGCAGTTGCACACATGATCTTCCAGAAGGGACCGAAAGCAAACAAGAAGGTCTTAGAGTTAGAATCAGTCGGCTGGAAGTTTGGTTATGAGAGGGTTGGCCAGTCAATCATCCTCCCGCTTTCTGCGAAGTCGAGGGAAGCTCTGAAGGATCTTGCCAAGAGGTGGTTGGAATTTGAATGTGACAAAGATGCTCTGACTGTAACATCATGGCAGGCAACCCGGAGAGACCATCACACATACCGGTTGGCAGTCATTGCTGACTCTACTGTTTCCTGCAGACAGAGCCTCGATGGGTTTCTTAAAGATTCTGGGTCTGAAGCTGTAGTGACTGGAACAGCTCCTCAAGAAAAGCCTAAGGTTTGCTTTGTTTTTCCCGGCCAAGGCCAGCAGTGGGAGGACATGGGTCGTAAACTCTACAGGTGTGAGCAGGTTTTCAGGGAAACTATCAACAGTTGTGACATTATCTTCAAGAAAATGTCTGGGTGGTCATTACTGGAATCTTGCGGCTTGTTTAATTGTGCCCCTGTCAACGTACACAACTCCCCATATAAGTCAGTTAGCAATGCGCTTAGTCAAGTAGAAGTCATCCAGCCTGCCATCATGTTCATTCAGGTGGCACTGTATCATCTCTGGAGGCACTGGGGAGTACAACCCGATGTTGTGGTCGGGCACAGCCTTGGGGAGATCTCTGCAGCCTATGCAAGTGGTGGCCTGAACCTAGAAGAAGCCGTGGCTGTCATCTATCACCGAAGCCACGAACAAGCAAAGCAAGAGGGAACAGGTAGAATGGCTGCACTGCGAGCCACCAAAGAACAAGCAGAGAAGATCTGTCAGGAGCACCAGAATCTCTACATAGCAGCAGTCAATGCACCTGGTGCAATCACTCTAGCTGGAAACGGAGACGTCATCGCCACTGTGGTTGAGCAAAATCCTGGAAAGGCCAAACAGCTCCGGGTGACTTGTGCCTTCCATACTCCAGAGATGGACTCAATCAAGGAGCCATTTTCCAGGGCCATGGAAGGTGTTGTCAAGAGTGAACCTGGGAAGAGGGATGTTCCCTACTACTCCACCGTGACTGGCGAATACTACGACGGCAGTTTTGGCACTGACTACTGGTGGAGCAACATCCGAGGTGCTGTACTCTTTCAGCCTGCCATTGAAGCTGTGCTACAAGAAGCCAAGGCTGATGTCTTTCTTGAGATTGCAGCCTCAAATACATTGTTGTCCTCGGTAAAACAGATTGCCCGCGGTTTGGATCCCAAACACCCACCTGTCACCGTCAACTCCAGCCTGCGAGACAAAGATGATCTGCAGAGTATCCAAAGAGCAGTGGGAACCCTCTATACAAACGGAGTTCCTCTAAACTGGGCCACAATAACTCATGAATCAGCTGAGTGGGCACCGCTTCCAACATATCCATGGCAGCATCAGTCATTCTGGTTGGAGACAGAGGAGAGACAGAAGCGACGCCTTGGTTTGGATGACCGCACCTTCAAAGGACAGAGTGGCAACCTCTCCTTGGAGATGTTCCCCTTTTTGGCTGATCATGTTGTGGGAAACAGAATCATATTTCCTGGGGCTGGTTACATTGAGTACATGACACAGATGACTTTCGAGGAGACTGAAAAGCCAGCTCTTACGAACATCAACTTCACCCGTGTTCTACCATGGCCAGAAGATGCAGACTTCAAGAAGTCCACCCTGAAAATAAGTCTGGTGAAAGATGGTGCGGGGATGCAAGTGACCTGTGATGGAAATGTACACAGCAATGCTCAGCTAGATTGTCCCATGGCCGATTCAAAAAAATGTCTCCCTCTTGAGAAGATAATGAAGAGGTGCTCTACTGAGGTAACTGGGCAAGAGTTTTATTCCAGGCTCCAAGGCATTGGTCTGAGCTACGGACCCGCTTTCCAGATGGTGGAAAAGATGTTCCTTGGAGATGGCGAGGCACTCGCTGTACTTCATCCTGTTCCTGACAACAAAGAGAGAGTTCAAGTAGCTCATCTGGATGCAACTTTCCAACTGGCTTTGGCTGCCGTAGGCTCTAGCTCCGCTATGTACCTGCCAGTACACATCGACTCTTTTGAGTTATCCAGGGAGTCTTTGCCGTCTGGAGAACCCATTCTTGCTTACACAAAATTCATCGACTGTGACACAATGATTCTCACAGCAGATATTACCATGGCTACTGAAAAAGGCGAAATCTTGGCAAGTTTGAAAGGTTACCGAGGGCAAAACTTCAACGGCAACCAGTCAGATGTTCCCATCGAATCGTGCATCTATACTACCCAGTGGCAACCAGCATCAGCCAGTACACTGCCAACATCAGTCCTCAAAGATGTTTTTGAGGAGAGTAATCTTCGCCTGGTATATGGGTCTGAGATGAATGCCATTGATAGAGCTGAGAAATGTCTCGAAGATATTGAGGCAGTCTGCGTGTCTTACATCCGAAACGCCCTGGAAACAGTCCCTCAAGATGAGCGGGCGCAGGGAAAGAGCTACAGTAAATACATCAATCTATTTAACAGTATCGCTGAGAAAGCCAACTGTAAATGCATCGTGTACAAGGACATCCCTGCAGTCTTACAGAAGATCCTCAAAGACGTTCCTGAGTTTGAGGCAGAGATGAACCTGATGATGCTTCTTGGCGACGCTCTTCCTAACACTCTACGTGATCCGCAACTTGCCGTTTCCCTCATGTTCAGTGCTGAAGGTCTAGAACGCTATTTCTATGATTCACTCAGCACAAGAATCTACTACAAAGCTGGAGCTGAAGCAGTTGTCAGGGCTGTCCAAGAAGCTGCTAAGCACAAGAAGGTTGTCAGGGTTCTGGAGCTTGGGGCTCGCTTTGGCGGTCTGACTCGCTTCATTGTGGAACCACTCAAGGACATGGGAGCTGAAAAGAAGATGGAGTACTTCTTTACTGATGATAGTGCCAACTTTTTTCCACAAGCTCAAAGAAATCTCCACGAGTTCCCATTTATTAAGTACAAACAGCTAAGCCTTGAGAAAGACATCAGGGACCAAGGATTTGTTCCTGGCAGCTTTGATGTTGTAGTCTGCTTGGACACCCTGCATGCGGCGGTTGATGTTCAGCGAAGCACGGCTTTCATGACCGACCTACTCAGTGCTGATGGCCTCATGTTCATCATGGAGGGCACCAACACACACTATATGAGTGAGCTTTTGTTTGGGGTTATGGATATCTGTTGTGCGTTCGATGACTTTCGTAAGGAGCGTTGCTGGATGGATCGGGAAGGCTGGTTGGACACCATGGAAAAAGCTGATCTCAAAGATACCATATCAGCCTCCTCACCCAACGAGTTCTTCCACTCTGTGTTTGTTGGAAGAAAGCCTTCAGTCTCCGAAAGAAATCAAGAAATAATCCAGCAGGATAAGCTCTTCGTAGTACGAGACGGCAACAACAAGTTCTCATCAGTTTTCCTTCCTAACTACCACGGTGAAGTCGAGATTAGCAACTTCTCTGAAGCTAAGTCTCTTGATCGTATGTTCAGTGAGCACACTGATTCCCCAATGGAGGTGATGTACATCTACAGTGAAGAAGACTCCAAGCTTCACGCCCTGCTGAAACTCTTCCAAGCGGTGGAATCATATCCCGAGGTTGTCAAGCGAATGTGGGTTGTGACAAAGGGAGGGAATATGGATTCAGCTTTTCCGAATGGTTCCCTGGCAGTTGGTTTGACTCGAGCTGTCAGTAATCAGATTCCAGGTGTGCCAATCTTCTCTGTAGATTTTGACCAACAACCTTCTTTACAAGAAAATGTCCAGGTAATGCTCAAGCTGATGAATGATCACGATCTTGGAGAGCGAGAGATTGTTATCCGCAAGAAGGAGAGGTTTGTCCCTCGAGTTATGCATCAAGATTTGAGCACAGGCAATACAATACAGTCTATGAAGTGGCGTGTGGAGCAGGATCTAAGAGGCCAAGCTGGTAAAGGGGCTTCCATTGATGATCTTGCCTTTCATGATGCTAATGATTTTGAAGTTCCGCCAGGCCATGTCAAGATTAGAGTCAAGGCAGCTCCTCTCAATTTCAAAGATGTCATGATGGCTCTTGGTCTTCTTGAGGGATTGGATGATGAGACACACCCATCCTTTGGTCTTGAGTGTGCAGGAGTTGTAGAAGAAGTTACATCTGGGGCACATGGCTTTAAAATTGGTGATGAGGTTATAGCATTTGGAAAAAGCTGTTTTGCCTCCCATTTGATCTGTGATTCCAGGTTGACTGCCTTAAAACCAGAAAACCTCAACTTCGTAGACAGTGCAAGTGTTGGTGTGGTTTTTGTGACTGCATACCTCTGCCTGGTCGAACGAGCCAATCTGCAGAAGGACGAAACTGTTTTGATTCACTCAGCTTGTGGAGGAGTCGGTCAAGCGGCCATTCAGATTGCACAAATGATTGGAGCCAAGATCATCTGCACTGCCGGTACAGAGGAGAAGAGGAATTATCTACAGAGGCAGCTTGGCATTGAGATGGTCAGTGACTCCAGATCTTCCCGTTTCTATGATGATGTAATGAAGTGGACCAAAGGTAGGGGTGTGGATGTCATCCTCAATTCCCTATCTGGTAAGCTGCTTCAAATGGGTACCACTCTGCTGGCTCCTGCTGGAAGATTTTGTGAGATTGGTAAGAGGGACATCCTGCAGAATTGTAATCTCCCTATGGGATTCTTCCTGGAGAACAAGGTCTTCCACTCCTGCCAAGTAGACGTCATGATGAAGCAGCAACCAGCAATAATTCAGAACATCATGCAGAAGGTCATTCACCTCTTTGACGAATCTAAGCTGAAGCCTATTCCGGTCACAGTCCATTCTATCAAGGAACTCAAGGAAACATTCAGAACAATGTCAAAGGGTTCCCACATTGGTAAGATTGTCTTTGAAGTACCTGAAGATTTCCAACCTGCTGCACTGAAGCCATCGTTGAGCCAGTTCAGATCTAATGCTACCTACATAATCACTGGTGGCTTTGGAGGCATTGGGCAGGCTCTCTCCAGATGGCTATGCCAGAATGGTGCCAAGCACATTGTTCTCGTCTCACGAAGAGGGGCTCAGACCGCAGCTGCCGAAAGAACATCAAAGTACCTGAAACGCAACAAGGTTAACATCTATGAGTTTGCACTTGACATATCCAGCAAAAACAGCGTGGCAGCGATGTTGGAGAAGCTCCGAGATGACAAGGAGGTTCCTCCTCTCAGAGGCATCTTCCACTTAGCAGGAGTCATCGAGGAGGAAGATCTATCAGAGATGACATCTCATCAGATGTCCCGAATCCTTGGTGCAAAAGCAACAGGGGCTAGAATCCTCCATGAACTGACTCAAGAGGACAAACTGGACATCTTCTTCATGCTGTCTTCAATCTCTACAACCTGGGGTCATCAAGCACAGCCAGTCTACTGCGCCGCTAACGCCTACCTTGACGCTTTGGCTGAGAAGCGACAAAGAAGCGGACTACCTGCATTGTCGGTTCAGTTAGCTCCCATTAAAGGAGCTGGGTACTTGGAGGACAAGGAGGAGACTGTCAAGGTTCTAGCCATGAAGGGGAAGCACCAGCTGTACGTGGATGAGTTCCTTGCTGTGCTTGGTCAGCTCCTCCCACGGCGGGATCTTCCATGTGTCTGCCTGGCAAACCAGGTGAGCCAATCATACTAAAAGTCCTTTCTACTTTACTACCAAGTGCAGATTGGAGACAAGGAAAAATATCTTTTAATGTGATATTTTACACAAATTGCAGGGGAAAGCTAAGTGCTAGATAACCGTTTTTGAAATGAAAGCTCTATAAGGAAAGTATGGATATATATTAAAAGTTGCATTCCCCAGTGCTCACTTGTGAGATTGATCCCGAAATGTTTTTTTTTTTTAATTTGTTTTGTTTTGTGTTTTTTTAGCAAAACAAAAGTTATGTACTTTTGAACAGGACATTGACCAAAACAATTGGCTCACGGTTAGTTACTGAATTATTACTTTACAAATTTCGAATTAGTTGCGGCACCGACAATGATTCCATTTCTGTAGAGAAGGCTGGTTCCAGTCCCACAATCAGTATAGATAATGCGCAGAGAATCAGGCTGATCTGTTTGTGCCTACAACAAAAACCCTTTTTTATCAGGTTTCAGAAGCACAAATAAGAAAAAAGGAGTTTTGGTAGTTGTAATAAAACTAAAAATGTAAGGAGGAAAAAAAAGGGTAGAAACCTCTTCTGCAAAATTGTGGCAAAAAAATAACGTGTAATAGTGAATTTCAACATTATTATGAACTTTCTGTCCGCATTCAATTGAATATTATGACCTCATGTGCAACGTGCAAGCGAACTTGTAATGTAACATTGCAACAGCAATAAATTTGCACCTGTAAGTTTATGGATTATTTCTGATTTTGTAACTTACCATCAGGAATGGGGAGCCACACAGCAGTTCTGCCACAAGGATATGCTGAAATTCCACCACCTAGCAGTGCCCAACTCCAAGTCATCCGGCGGGGAGGCTCGTGTCCTGGATGCTGCGGACCTGGAAGCCAGCATCAAATCCAAGATGGCTGAACTTCTGTGCATGTCGGAGGAATCCATTGACGTTAGCCAGCCCATGGTGATCTATGGCGTGGACTCACTGGTTGCCTTGGAGATGGTGAACTGGGCGACCAATCAGTTGGGATTATCCATCTCTCAGTTCGATATCTTAGGAGGTCTCACAACGGCCGCTTTTCTGGACAAGGCAAAGGAAGTAAACTAAATTGAACGCATTGCCATTTACAATATGCAGACCAAATAAACAGTGATGTCAATATTTCTTTTCCAAGGCATAATTGTTTTGGGTTTGTATAATACTTCAACAAAATCCAAATTAACTCCTGAAAAAAAATTACTTCTATTTATTCATCAGACAACTGACGCACAAATACTGGGAAAACACACTACTGAAAGAAAAAAAACAGAATTAAATTCAACGAAATTCCAAATTAACTTCTGAAAAAAAATTACTTTTATTTATTATCAGACAACTGACGCACAAATACTGGGAAAACACACTACTGAAAGAAAAAAAACAGAATTAAATTCAGATTATCACTACTTTTATATAGAAACTTTTACTTTTTTCCCATAGAGCCAAGATGTACATACATAAGTAATGTATTTTTACAGAATTGTCAGCACAGGAGGTATGATGAAAAAAGGCCCAAGACAAATTGTAAAGCTTTCAGTTTTGTAAAAAACTTTGAAATGCACCTTTGTGTCCAAATTTCTGTATTTTCATTCATTGTTTTACCTCTGTGAATATCTGTTGTAATGCAGAGTTTTTGTAAGCAAATTTCTGATTTTTGAGCAGAAAAGTGATGTCTTGTTGAGGCTTATTTTTTTAATTCCATCTACTTCTCATCAAAGGAACCGAAATTTGTATATAAAAGTGGCCATTTGTCATATTTAAAGTGTTTCTTTAAGTGTATTGTTTTAATCAATACACACTTTTGGCATATGTAAAGAATGTATCTAACCTGATGAGTGTAGTATCCTTCACGTCCTTAGTTGTTCAAAAATAGCCAAGAAATCATGTTCACATAAATTATCTTACCACAATGGGTGTCTCATTGTTGGACTATATTTGTAGTTCTTGGGTGGATACAAAAAAAAGCATTGTTGTAATTTCGGTTTGATGGATTTCTCTGAATACACGTTTTTACCCTGAATACACGTTTTTACCTTGGTCTTCAATTTATTTAAAGTGTTTCTGTCATTGTTTTTTTCTGTAACTGTATTACTTGTGTAATTGTTATGAGGCATTTAAATAAAAAATAACAATTTGCTCTGCCATGGTGGACCTCAATATTACCCAACTGAATTTGAACAAATCTTACACAACTTACAAAGGATTATGTCTTACATGTATGTCAATTGAGTTTGAAGTATACGTACTTCACTTGTTTTATAATAGTTGTGAAACAATGTGTCTAACATGTATGTCAAATGAGGTTATAGTTTACTTCATGTGTTTTATGATAGTTTTGAAACAATGTGTCTAACATGTATGTTGAATGAGTTTATAGTTTACTTCATTTGTTCTGTAATAGCTGTGAAACAATGTGTCTTATGTCAAAATAATGAGTTAATAGTTTATTTCACATGTTTTATAATAGTTGTGGAACAATGTGTCTTACATGTATGTCAAATGAGTTTATAGTTTACTTTATGTGTTCTGTAATAGTTGGGAACAATGTGTCTTACATGCATGTCAAATGAGTTTATAGTTTACTTCATTTGTTCTGTAATAGCTGTGAAACAATGTGTCTTAAATGAATGTCGAAATAATGAGTTAGGCCTAATAGTTTATTTCACATGTTTTATAATAGTTGTGGAACAATGTGTCTTCCAAGTATGTCAAATGAGTTTATAGTTTACTTAATGTGTTCTGTAATAGTTGGGAACAATGTGTCTTACATGCATGTCAAATGAGTTTATAGTTTACTTCATTTGTTCTGTAATAGCTGTGAGACAATTTGTGTCTTAAATGAATGTTTAAGACACAAGTCTTAAACATTTGTTCTGTAATAGCTGTGAAACAATGTGTCTTATGTCAAAATAATGAGTTAATAGTTTATTTCACGTTTTATAATAGTTGTGGAACATTGTGTCTTCCAAGTATGTCAAATGAGTTTATAGTTTACTTTATGTGTTCTGTAATAGTTGTAAATCAAAGGATAGACCTATATTTACATTGGACATAGTTAATCTATTTTATAGACCTATATTTACATTGAACATAGTTAATCTATTTTATATCAATAGTTGTTTCCATGTCTTTTTAATTGCAGAAATAAACATGTGATGTGTAGTTGGTTTCATATATTGCTTTTTATAGTCACAGTGACAAAAATGGACAAGGGCTTTCAAAATTAATTCAGCAGGCATCTTTGAGGTGACTTATGTTATTTGAATTCAGTAACGATGAATGCAAATGCGATATTTCATGAATGCCCCCTGTGAAACTATGCACCTCAGAGATAGCTGCAATGTAACGCGTCAATTTACTAATTAGTAAGAGAAAAAAAAGAATCCCAAAGTCTAGTCCGAGCTTACAGGCCCTAGATTTCATGTTTTAATATACTCAGATTTCTGTCCAGTTGTGTTTTTAAAGTAACTGTTTGATTTGTTCGTTTTTTTTACAGGAAAAACATCAAACTTGTAGTTTTTGAGAGTTTGGGTACTTATGCCTTCTCTTGTTTCATATATTGGGAAAATTTTTTCAAGCTTTCGGACATTAAAGGGAATATACATCATTTGCTTTTGCTGTAATTTTCAGAAATGGATGGAATTGGGGGGTTGGAAATAAATAGCAAATATAGTTACACTGACTTTTTTGACGTTTTGGGTTCAAGAAAATGCTATAAAAACCAAGAAAAACAATCATTTTCCTGTAGTCTGGCTCCCTGACTCCATTTAAGAAGAAACGGAGCAGTTTACATACATTGGGGAATTGTAAGGTCAGGGAACCAGTCTAGCTGGCTCGTACCCGTTCATAGGTGTGTAATCAATTGCAAACAAGTGCGATGGTCAATTGGGGCCAGTATTTGAAAAAAAAGCACGTTTTTTCCAACGCTGGTCGGCCGATCAGCGTTGGAAATTGATACAAAAATACCACTTTTCTTGAAAATGACAGTATACCAGGTGCCATGATTTTACAGGATGCTTTACACTGTCATTCACTAACAGTCCAGCAAGGTATTTCAAAATGATTTGGTAGTTTTATTTTTTGATGTTTGCAAATGTTGTATTTTCCCTTTAAAAACATCCAATTAAGAATAAATTAGACTGGCACATGAAACAAATTAACTATTCAGGCCGAGTAAAAACAAACAGTTTCTCTCCAAGCATTTTGACAAAATGGAGGCACCCCCCCCCCTTTTTTTTTCCAAGATGGTGGATTTTCCAAGATGGCGCATGGAATCTTCCATTTTATTAACTCTTTTGCTGACTCAAACTTGTGTCCAAAGGAGCCATCACCTTTTTACATCTATAGACAATTTTGGAAACAACTAAAAAGACTATGTTGACAATATATTTGCAAAAAATCATTGCAAATGCATGAATTAAAAAAAAAAAAAATAGGAAAAAGGAAGCAGGCAGAGACGAGAAACTGGTTACTTTTTTTTACTTGGCCTTCGATTCAGCTTTCTACATAGCCTATAGCTACAATTTTGGAAACAACTAAAAAGACAATATGTTGACAATATATTTGCAAAATATCATCGCAAATGCATGAATTGAAAAAAAAAATAGGAAAAAGGAAGCGGGCAGAGACGAGAAACTGGTTACTTTTTTTTACTTGGCCTTCGATTCAGCTTTCTACATAGCCTAAAGCTACAATGTTGGAAACAACTAAAAAGACAATATGTTGACAATATATTTGCAAAATATCATTGCAAATGCATGAATTAAAAAAAAAAAAATAGGAAAAAGGAAGCAGGCAGAGACGAGAAACTGGTTACTTTTTTTTACTTGGCCTTCACTTCAGCTTTCTACATAGCCTATAGCTACAATGTTGGAAACAACTAAAAAGACAATATGTTGACAATATATTTGCAAAATATCATTGCAAATACATGAATTTAAAAAAAAAATAGGAAAAAGGAAGCGGGCAGAGACGAGAAACTGGTTACTTTTTTTACTTGGCCTTCACTTCAGCTTTCTACATAGCCTATAGCTACAATTTTGGAAACAACTAAAAAGACAATATGTTGACAATATATTTGCAAAATATCATTGCAAATGCATGAATTTAAAAAAAAAAAAAAAAGGAAAAAGGAAGCGGGCAGAGACGAGAAACTGGTTACTTTTTTTTACATGGCCTTCACTTCAGCTTGAGCCTACCAAGTCCCTCTTCAATCTCCAACTGATGATCTTGGAACATCTCAACAAAGTAGGAAATGTGCCATTTGTTATTCTTCAAAATTTGAATCACTTTGTGTTCCATTGTCTGGTGCCAAAGGTCGCGACACTATTCAGATTTGAAATCGTGTGTAGGCTAGTTGAAATGCCAGAAAATAGTTTTAAATTTTGAAAATTCTGAGAGCTTAAGAATGCGTTGGCCTGGAGTTTCTTTGTATTGCATCCTTTTATTATTAAGTCTGGTCTTCCATCGGGAGACCAAACCAGTATTTTTGATATTGCTGCACTGTATTGCAGCAATATCCGAGCCACACTTAGTGCCTATTTTTGTAAGCCTTTTACTAAAAGTAGACTAAAGTTTTTAGATCCTACCTTCTTTTTGAAATCCCGAATGAATTTTTTCTGCTTGTAAATTTCTCAAAAGCAAATTATTCTAGCCTACAGAGATAAGACTGTTCCTTTTTTTATCTCGGTAAACATAGACAAATATACAAACGTTAGCAAACAGAATGTGCAAAAAGAAGGTCTATGTGTTTAATGGTTGCCTTGAGCTGAGTGATCGTCCATGTTGAAAGTTGACTAGCCCAGGTTGAACTCCATTGTGTACATGTTGTGCACTTTCTTGAAAATCACGCATTCTTAAGAATGCGCATGCACATTCTTATGATTGTGCAACTGGATCCTTGCGCAATCTTCGCAAAAAATAACTCTTCCAGATTGAGCGCACATTCTTAAGAATGCGCGACAAGATAACAGTCTTGTCGATACCGAGCACCTGCTGCGCTTGGCAAGTCTAGCTGCATCCTCGTTCACTGATTCTTAATAATTATACTGTTGCAACGCAAGGCGCTGAAAAGTAGAGTGGATATGAAAAGTATACGCGTATTGGGGGGGGGGGGGACCAGGAAAAAAATAAGAGACATAATAACAGTGTATTGGAAAGAATTCTAATTTTGGGATAATAAAAGTGGGGGGGACGTAAGAATGAAGAATGTGAAGAATGAGAATGAATACTGTGACATCCCATAGTGCTAATGCTATTTCCCATTTAAATTGCCACCAATTTATTGTTCACACCCCCACCATTACGCCGCAGAGCTGGTTTCTATCTAGTCAATAGAGCAATTTTGGCAGCTTCTGGAGATCGTTTTTTTTTTTTTCGTGGCATGCATATGATACATACAGGGACTTGTAACTTGTCTAGCCTAAACAAAGCACTTCCCAGACTAGTTCCCAGTCCTCCGTTATTACAAAACTTCCCATAGTGGGCAGAAAAAAGCAATAATAACAGGTTTAATTTGATTCAAATTATCGTAGTTATACGAGTACAGAAGCATAGAACATTTTCTTTCCTCTTTATATGAATTATTTCCCTTTTTTAAACCGCTATGGGGCCTACATTTCATTTAACATAGTTATGTCGTGCAATGTTTGTTAAGATTGCGCAAAATTCATAAATTGCGCACGTGATATTCCCACGCAATATTAAGAATGAGCGCTCATTCTTAAGAACGCGTGCTCATTTTTAAGAATGCGCGCGCATTCGAAAGATTGCGTGATTTTCAAGAAAGCGCACAACATAACACGGTGTACGCAATGCAAGAAGACGTCGTCCAACCTGGGCTAAATGTTGACTGAATTACCGGTCTCTATGCTGTGTTCAATCCACTCTGACTCACCTTAAATTGGCGATATGATCCCGTCGAATACCTTCAAGAAAAAACTCGTGTAAAGAGGGAAGGGTTTTCAATTGTGATTTGATGGAAATTGTAGGCTTACGTCAGACGGAGGCCCTACTATTTGGGGGCAAAACTACTTGGCTAGGGGCCATGACGCGCACGCAAGAAGTTGAACTTGTACACGGGGGACGTACATGTACGTCCGGCCTGGCCGCCTGCACGTGCGCGGTGTGAACCCGTCTGCGACATTGCATGCCGAACCGGGTATGGAAGCTTGTCGCTGATTGGCTGATTAAAAGTTACATTTTCGATTATCAGTGATCTGACCTGTGATTGGTCAAAAGTAGCAGAAGAATTAATAAACGAAATGGCGAAATGTTGACTTGACGCTGAAAAACGCAAGTTTAATTTTCCAAACAAAAGCACAACTTGAACTTCCTGAAGTTAACTTTTGTGATACATGTACTTATATAGTGCGGATCCTGTGTGCCATTTGATTCTAAGTGTAAGTTTTCGACTTACTTGGGGGGGGGGGGGGTTCATGATTATTTTGTACCCCTGGGGCCACCGTTTTAAGCATCCATGGTTTCTGGTGGCTAATAATATACCAAAACGTTTGGTACGTTGGGGTAAAGTATATACGTGCTGGACGTACTGGGATACATTATTGGGGGGGGGGGGGGGGCATCACCAGTGGCGTTCCCGCCCAATAAAATAATATTGGGGGGGGGGGGGGCATCCCCGTTCATCCCCCCCCCTTCCCGGAGCGCCGCCCATGGTCGGCTCGTGTTGATTGTCACAGAATAATCTTGTATACATGACTTCCAAAAACATCACGCACATGCCGTGAATAGCGCCCTCGTTCCTGGTTACTACATTGTTTTCGGCATCCGTGAATAAATGTGGGTCGTTCTAATTTCTTCACTGGAGCGAAAAATTGTACATATCCATCCACTGCAAGGATCCTTGGCCTTTTGGAGATGTAGGCATGGGCGTCGCGAGGGGGGGGGGCAAGGGGCGCTTGCCCCCCCCCCCCCCGGAAAAGCAAAAAAACAAAACAAAACAAAACAAAAAAAAGGAAGAAAAAAAAGAGAAAAAAAGAAAAGCAAAAGAGGCGCGAAGTCATAGTGGTGTAAATTTAATGAGTTGGGGGGGGGCAAAATGTCCCTGCCCCCCTCTAAAACTGATAAATGGAGAATATGTTGTCGTTGAGAAATATAGGAATTTTGGGGGAAAATATGTTTTGCCCCCTCTAGAAAAAATCCTGGCGACGCCCATG